CACGCCGCTTAGTCGGCCGGTTGCGGTGTCCCTGGCTGACCCCTCTGCGGGTCCTGTCCTGTCTCGCTTCTCCACCGTCCTCCCGTGTCCGGCGGCTCCCTCTGGCACCCTGTCTGGTCTCTACCTCCCCTCATTCTCTACGAACTTGGTGAGTGGTGCTGACCTTAAGGATGCGGGAGTCCACCAGTTCACCCCTGCTCGTCAGCGGGTGACGCACTGCACAGAGGCTAGCACAGGCCGTCACCTGGCTACGTGTACACGTCAGCCAGGGTCGAGCCTGTACACACTGACCACTGCTTCTCCTCCAGTTCCTGAGTCTGGTAGGGTCTCTTCGTCAGGTCAGGTGTTTGCTGCAGCGTCCAGGTCTGGTCCTGAGTCTGCCCCCTGTTCGTGTCGTCGCCTGTCTCACGAGACTCTCCTCTGGCACCACCGCCTGGGTCACCCCTCTCTGCTTCGGCTCAGAGGCATGGCCTCCCGTCTTCTTGTGTCTGGTCTCCCCCGGTCCCTCCCTCCCCTTCCTCAGGGCCCTGGCCCTGCCTGTGTCCCCTGTGTCGAGGGGCGCCAGCGTGCTGCCCGTCACTCCTCCCAGTTTCCTCCGACAGAGGCTCCGTTGCAGACGCTTCACATGGACGTGTGGGGCCCTGCCCGCGTCCGTGGACTCGGTCACGAGCGCTACTTCCTGTTGGTGGTTGACGACTACTCGCGTTACACCACAGTCTTCCCCTTGCGCAGCAAGGGTGATGTCACTGAGGTGCTGATCGTCTGGATTCGCGCAGCTCGTCTCCAGCTCAGGCAGAGCTTTGGCTCGGACTTTCCTGTGCTGCGTCTGCACTCGGACAGAGGCGGAGAGTTCTCCTCTGGCCTTCTGCATGCCTACTGTCGTGCGCGAGGTATCCGTCAGACCTTCACGCTTCCGGACTCACCGCAGCAAAATGGGATTGCAGAGCGCCGCATTGGCATGGTCATGGACGTCGCTCGTACGTCTATGATGCATGCGGCTGCCCCCCATTTTCTGTGGCCGTTTGCAGTCAGGTACGCGGCGCATCAGATCAACCTCCACCCCAGGGTCTCCAGGCCGGAGACCTCCCCAGCTGTGCTGTGGACGGGGAAGGTTGGCGATGCGTCGGCGTTCCGGGTCTGGGGATCTCGGGCGTTTGTCCGCGACTTGTCTGCGGACAAGCTGTCCCCTCGCGCTGCTCCCTGCGTCTTCCTGGGGTTCCCCCCCGACGCCCCTGGGTGGCAGTTCTACCACCCCACCTCTCGCCGTGTTCTGTCCTCCCAGGACGTCACGTTCGACGAGTCGGTACCCTACTACCGCCTCTTCCCCTACCGCACTCCGTCCCTCCCCCCACCCCTGCTCTTCTTGGTACCAGGTCCCCCCCTGGTCGACCCCCTCCCCCCTCAGGGTCCTGCCCCTTCAGGTGTGTCCCAGGTAGACGCTGTCGAGCCTGTCGAGGTCACTGGTGACTCTGGTGCTGCTGTGGGTGCTGAGCCTAGGGGTGCTGTGACAGGGGGTGTTGTGCCTGGGGGTGCTGAGCCTGGGAGTGCGGAGCTTGGGGGTGCGGAGTCTGAGGGTGCTGAGCCTGGGGAGGCTGAGCCTGGGGGTGCTGGGCCTGGGGGTGCTGAGCCTGGGGGTGCTGAGCCTGGGGGTGCTGAGCCTGGGGGTGCTGAGACTGGAGGTGCTGCGCCTGGGGGTGCTGAGCGTGGGAGTGCTGAGACTGGAGGTTCTTCGCTTGGAGGTTGTCCGGGTGCTTCGTCTCGCCGAGAGCCACTCTCCCCACAGGAGCTGCGTGAGTGGTTTGCCTGGCGCTGGAGGCGTGCTGCTGGTGCTGGAGGTTCTTTGGCTGCTGAGGGTGCTGCTGCCGCGCGTCACGGAGGTGCTCGTCCTGGGAGCACTGGAGCTGCTGGGCCTGCGGGTTCTCCTTGAGCTGGTGCTGCTGAGCGTGTTGTCGCTGAGACTACCGCTGGCGGTCCGACTGGCAGTGCTCCTAGTGCTGCTGGAGGTTCTGGGGCTGCTGGAGGTGCTGCTGGGGGTTCTGGAGCTACTCGAGGTACTGCTGGAGCGGGTACTCCTGCTGGGGGTACTGGTGCTGTCCCTGCTGTTTCTGGCGTCGCCACGCAACCCCGACCGTAATTCGTTCCACTCCTGCAGCAGGTTCTTGGTCTTACACCTTCTCCTGGTCCTCCTCCTCCTCCCTTAGAGGGTCCACAGCCTGTCTTGTCACAGTCACAGCTACAGCCTGCCTCCCCTTTGCCTGCTCCTTCTCCCTACACTGGTCCGACTGGAGGTCTTACTGAGCGTTGTGAGCCTGCGTCACGTCCTGCGTCGCCTGTTCGTACTGCGCGCACTAGTGGTCGCGGTTCGCGTCAGCGTCCTCCTCCTGTCCCTTGCACGCACCGGATGTCTCTGCGTCCGTCCACTGCTCCTCTGCGTGCCCCTTTGCCTTCTCCTCCTGCTTCCTCTCTTCCTGCTCTTGCCGACCCTGAGTCGGACTCTCTTCGTGCTGCCAGTCCTACTGTCACGCGTCTCCTTGCTACTGCCGTCACTGACCCTTCTTTCGAGTCTTCTGCTGCGTCCGCCCTTGTTACTGAGCTCGTCGACTTTGCTGCGCGCTGTCGTCTAGACTACGCTGCTAGTCTTGTCGCTGAGTCTGAGTCTGCCTGTCCTCCATCCGTCGGGGGTGAGTGTGCCCTTGGCACGGACGTCCTAGAGGACAAGCAGGAGGAGTTCCAGTGTCTGGCCGCCGCTTCACCTCATCTCGCGTCTGTACTGCTCACCCCTGAGGGAGACCCTGATGCACTAGACATCCCGACTCCGCGCTCTTACGCGGAGGCGATAGAGGGTCCCTACTCCTCTCTGTGGCAGGCAGCTATGGATGCAGAGATGGCTTCCTGGAAGTCCACAGGCACCTACGTTGACGCTGTCCCCCCTCCTGGGGCCAACATCGTCAGTGGCATGTGGATTTTCAGGGTGAAGCGGCCGCCGGGTTCTCCGCCTGTCTTCAAGGCGCGTTACGTGGCTCGTGGCTTCAGTCAGCGGCAGGGAGTTGACTACTTTCAGACCTTCTCCCCCACCCCGAAGATGACCACTCTTCGGGTACTGCTGCACGTTGCTGCTCACCGCGACTACGAGCTGCACTCTCTCGACTTCAGCACTGCTTTCTTGCAGGGCAGCCTGCACGAGGAGATCTGGCTGCGTCGCCCACCTGGCTTCACTGGGTCTTTCCCTCCTGGTACCCAGTGGAGTCTCCGGCGTCCAGTCTACGGTCTCCGCCAGGCGCCGCGTGAGTGGCACGACACACTGAGGACTACGCTGGCGGCACTTGGGTTTGCTCCTTCCACTGCAGACCCGTCGCTGTTTCTGCGCACCGACACCTCTCTGCCGCCGTTCTACATCCTCGTGTACGTCGACGACTTGGTCTTTGCCACAGCTGACATTGCTGGACTCGCCTACGTGAAGTCCGAGCTGCAGAAGAGACACACGTGCACTGACCTGGGTGAACTGCGCAGCTACCTTGGCTTGCAGATCACCCGCGACAGAGCACGCCGCACCATTACCCTGACTCAGTCACACATGGTGCAGCAGGTCCTTCAGCGCTTCGGCTTCACGTACTCCTCGCCTCAGGCCACTCCTCTGCCTACTCGCCACTCGCTCTCAGCTCTGCCTTCGGATGAGTCCGTAGAGTCGAGTGGCCCGTATGCAGAGCTTGTTGGCTGCCTCATGTACCTGATGACCTGCACACGACCTGACCTTGCATACCCTCTTAGCATTCTCGCACGCTATGTTGCTCCTGGGAGACACCGACCAGAGCACATGGCTGCAGCGAAGAGGGTGTTGCGCTACTTGTGCAGTACGTCGGGCATGGGGCTAGTGCTTGGAGGGCGCAGTCCAGTGGTCCTCACTGGGCACGCGGACGCTTCTTGGGCTGACGACCAGGCTACGCAGCGGTCGTCACAGGGTTACACCTTCAGCCTTGGTTCCGGCTCTATTTCGTGGCGGGCTACCCGCTCGTCTTCTGTTCTCGGCTCCAGTTGTGAGGCTGAGATCTACGCCGGGGCTATGGCGGCCCAGGAGCTTCGCTGGCTCACCTACCTGCTGACCGACCTTGGAGAGCCGCCTCGTTCTCCTCCAGTCCTGTACGTAGACAACAAGGCCATGCTGGCCTTGTGTCGAGAGCAGCGACTGGAGCACAGAACAAAGCACATTTCTCTCCGCTACTTTCTTGCTCGTGAGCTACAGCAGCGTGGACAGTTGCGACTTGTGTACGTGGCCTCTGAGGCCAACACTGCTGATGTCTTCACCAAGGCACTTGCGCCTTGTGATCATCAGCGCTGCTGCACGCAGCTGGGTCTTGTGCTTGTCTTGCCTCACTTGCTCACTTCTTGACCTTGCTTGTACCTTTACCTATATATACTCTTGCTCTTGCTTGCTTGACTCTTGTATATCTCTATATGTGATCTTGCATGTGAACTGGCCTTCTGGCCTTTGAACTTGTGCTCGGAATGTGTGGTGACTTTGTGATCCACCCTGAGCTTTGCTTTGCTTTGCCTGACTGGTCTTGTGACCCCTTGTTCTCCCCCACTTTGCCTATGGGGGTGTGTCAGAACAATATAGCTTACTTATTTGTGTAGACTATAGTGGGGTATCCCATAGGGGGTACAATCCCATTAGGGTTTCCTATTTGTACCCACTTCATTCATAGTCATTCCATTCTCGTTCTATTCTTCTCAGTATCTGCATTCTGTAATTCAGTATTCTCAGTATTCGTTATTCAGCGCACTCTGCAAGTTTATTCAAATCAGCTAACCCAAACATAGCTTAAGTACGCATGAAGAGATAGGTTTTGACTCGCCTAAGGCATAGTGGGGGATACCCAGACCTAAGCAATGGTCACAAGAACAGTGAAGAATTGCAACAATGCAAAGCTCAGGGTGCATCACAAAGTTACCACGTGGTCCGAGCATAAGCAAGTGGCCACAAATGCAGTTCACATGTAGTGTTATGGAAGTACAAGCACAGGTGAGAAGAGAGCGAGAGAAGCGGGGCGGTGGAGGGGGGAGGCGAGGGGGATGGAGAGGAGAGTGAGGGAGGAGAGGAAGGAGAGGCAGGGAGGGAAGGAGCGGTGAGCGAGGAGGGAGAGAGAGGTTAGGTTAGGAAGGGCGGCTAGGCACTGACAGTGGCACTGGTGCGGGTGTGTTGTGTAGAATCGTGGGGGGCGGAAGAGGATGTTGAGGCCCATGCAGTGGCACTCGCCTGCCACGTTGGTGGCCAGCTGCTGCAGGCGCGTGAGCGACCATAGCGAGGGAGGCAGCCACCCCACCACCTTGTCCTCCCCACCCCACCCATCCCCCACCACCCTCCTCCTCCCCGCCTCCTCCCTCCGCCCTCCCACCATGCCTTTTCCTCCTCTCCCCCTCCGTTGCTTTCGGCTTCGCACACACTACAAATGTCAAGGACGACAGGCTCGGTCCGATCCCATCAAACAGGTCCGGCGGAAGAGGCTCGGAAAGGCCGGTGGTGGGAGAGCCAAGGGAGAGGTGGAGGAGGGAGAGGCGGGAGAGTGAGTGGAAGGGGCATCGGAGAGGAGTGGATGGTGGGGAGCAGACAGGGAGAGGTGGAGGGAGTGGAGGGAGGAGAGGTGGGGCAGGAGGTAAGGCGGGAGGTCGGAGAGAGGCAGGGAGAGGTGGGCGGGACGGGAGAGCAAGACAGCTACTTCTTCACTCATTGTGAGGTAGTTGTTGATACAGAGGCTGAAGTGCAGTGAGCGTAGATGTGGACAACTCGATATGAGCTGCCTCATCTGCTCCGCCTGAGCGCGCGCCTTCCATCCCCAATCCCTGGGCTTTGTCATTTCCTCGTGGATCGGGCACGAGGCGTCTCTAGGCGGCTCAGACACAAGGTGCAGCGACCGCAGGTTCACGCATGAGCGCGCCAAGCCCATCATTTCCGATAGCTACCACGCCTGATGTGGGGTGTGGTTGAGACTCATGGGCATGTGCATTGCGCTCACGTGCTGCGGCTGTCGCGACAGCTGCTGCTGGAGACGCGTACGCAAGGCATCGGAGAGCGGAAGGGACCGGATCTCCAGGCGCTGGTCCGAGGAGAGCGACGATTCCGAATCGTTGCGGGAGCAGCCAAAGCTGCAGAGGTAGTAGGCGCCGCGAGTCACACGCCCCAGCTGCGCCCCAGCTGCCCATCAGATCGTCCACTAGGAACGGCACCGCTACATGCCGCCTCTCTGCTGCTGCCACTGCTCCCACATCTGCCACTGCTCCCACATCTGCCGCTGCTCCCACATCTGCCGCTGCTCCCAAATCTGCCGCTGCTCTTACATCTGCCGCTGCTCCCACATCTGCCGCTGCTCCCACATCTGCCGCTGCTCCCACATCTGCCGCTGCTCCTACATCTGCCACTTCTCCCACATCTGCCTCTGCTGCCACATGCGTCGGCTGCGGCAGCGAGTGCAGGAGGTGGTGGCGAGGACGGAGGTGATGGAACAAGCCCAACGGCTCTTGGGCTTGTTCTAGTGTTTCTGGCTCAGAATTCTTGCCAAGGGAATTTCCTTAGAAGTAAAGAGAGAATAAACAGAAAGGGAAACAAGGAACAACTACTCTAATCCTACGAATGTATTTTTATATGTACAGTATTTACAATTCAGACATGCGACTCGGAATGCCGATTCGGGTGGCCAGCCCTGACATCGAGCCGCATTCCATCTCCCTTTTCACAATTGTACACCTCACAGCACACACACACACACGTGTTACATTTCTATTCCTCCAGATTTGGACTTTCGCCACCTGTCCCACGCGGAAGTCCCCCCAAGCCAGTCAAAGCACGAAACCTCTGTTTCGTCCTCTTTGCGTGGGTCCCCCACGCCCTGCTCACTTCCGCCCTTGTGCTGCCCCCGTTCGCAACTGCACGGTGCTGCTGCATGACCTTGCCTCTCGTGCAGTTCACGCGGGCTCCAGTGTAGCCAGCTTCACTTGTTATAGGTGACAAGTCGGAGGGGGGGTGAGAGTCAGGACCTCTCGCCTGGGTCCCCACGCGCGGCGGATCTTCCGTCGCAAAGCGCGGCGATTTGCCCGTGTCAAGGCACGCTGATTCATCCATGTCAAGGCGTGGCGGGTCGTTCGTGGTCCATAGTTTCGGTCGCGACGGGCAGCACGGCTCATCCAAGAGGTCATCACGACACGCGATGCGCGGGGTGCAGGTTGGCCGGCTGACAGTGCTGCTGGCTGACTCTCCGTGCCCGAGTTTCTCGAGCCGTCATCGAAGCGTGTGCGCGTCGAACAAGCACACAATCGCGGTGCTGGTCATTGAGCCGGCGGTGGTCTCCGAACTCATCGTTCATCGCACGGCGCGCGTTCGTGACAAGCCGCGCGCGAAACGCGACAGTCGCAAGATTTTTGCCCCTAAAGAGACGACATGGAGCGGTGATGGGTGGAGTGGACGACGAGCTTAGGGGGCGGCGACAGAGGGGGGACAGGATCCTATTCTCTACAAGCAGCTACTATGCTGAATCCAAGACCCATCCCAAAAATCGGGGGGGGGGGGGGGGGGGAGGTAAGCTTTCGGGGGGTGTGTTCGAAGTTACAGTCTGAGCGGGCAAAGGTACCTTCGACGGGTCGCATCGGAACGACAAGAGCCCAAGTAGAGGAAATGACGGAGCGGCGTGTTTTCTAGTTTCCAATTCCAATGGGCAGTGGTTTTGACAGCGCATCGCTCCGCGCTCGCGTCCAATATTTTGGGGCATTCTCCGTTTCCCCTTTTGAGGCTACAATTACAGATTGTTTTCATGTTACGGGATATTACAAATTTATTCGTCGAGTCCATAGCAAACGCGCAACTTGGGACAGAAAAATAAACCCTCATGGATGGCATGCCACGTAAAGGGCATCAACCCTAACACCATGAGACAGGTGTTTAGGGTTGATGCCTCCCAAATGGCTTGTCATCCGAGTGGGTTTTAGTTTTTCCTCTGGCCTATACTGAAACCAGGTAAACTTGATATTTTCCTTTCTATACATCTGGTCACGAAAAATGGGAAATAGCAATTCAAACTGCCCGCAAGAATCGGGCGCAAGCGCGAAGATAGTCGCTATCAAAGCCACTACCGAAAGGAATCGAAAACGCGCAAACACGGCGGTCCGTCATTTCCTCGCCCAAGCAGCTTCGGAACTCTCGGAACTGCTAGGTTAGCAGCTTCAGGTAACTCCCGACCGTTGACGCGCCAGGTGGCAGCTTCGAAATCGCATCTCAGCCTCGACACACACGATGGAGGCCTGTAACAGAGCAGCTCGTGTCCTATTGGCTTTGGGCCTCGAACATTGAGTGCGATAAATCTAATATCTGTACATTTGTTGTAAAAACATTGAATGGGAAACATATACGTTCATAGCAATTGTTGTGCTCTGAAGTTTTCATTAAGAGTGGATAATGTATACCTATTCACAGCAATTGCCAAAACTGCTTGAAATTGGGGTGTTTGCTTTGGATAATATAGATACACTTTGAATTTATTCACTGTAAACAAAACATCTATTATATTCTATAACAGTGCTCTAATGTTGCTACGGTATGATGCCTTGTGAATGTTACGGTACCTGCTTAGGGTTATGTTAGACATTGTGCCTATCCCTGCATGCCTTTCCCTTGTCGCTTGTTTGAATCAGCATATCAAACTACGTTGTATAGCGAATGGCACCATAGTTGGATTGGATTGTATGCTAGTAACATAGTGACTCGCCTAATCATCAAAAGAAACAATGTAAAAAAAAAAAAAAAAAAAAACAACAACAAGACATTGAAACGGCACCACTTGTGCTCAGTATCTATCCTTGCATGCTTTTCCCTATTCACTATTTGTTCAAATCAGCACATCTATGCATAGGTTGGGCAGTCATGTCACACTAAGTGGTTTAGTGTCATGTTTGTATTTTTTGTCAAACTTATATGCTTTAGTCTGTAGGCTGTGTCAAATCATAATGTTCTGTAGGCTGTAGTGGTTGCATATTTCTAGGGTTGCATATTTGTACCACATTCCATTCCTTAGTGCACTCATTCTCGTTTCAATCTTCACATGGTATCGAGCAGGTTCCCTCGTGGGAACTGTGCGTAGGGCCCACCAAGTCGAAAGTTTTTTTTCCTGCCCGGAGCGCGCTCTGCCCAAGTCGCGCTCCCTTCTCTGACTTCGTCGAGCCGCCCTAGCGGCCAAGTCGCGCCGCCTTAGCGGCCCCTGATTCGTCGCCCTAGCGACCCCGTTGCCCTACCTACGACCCCGGCCCCGTCGCCCTACCTGCGCCCCGGCCCCGTCGCCCTACCTGCGCCTCGGCCCCGTCGCCCTACCTGCGCCCCGGCCCCGTCGCCCTACCTGCGCCCCGGCCCCGTCGCCCTACCTGCGACCCCGGCCCCGTCGCCCCCCCCCCCCCCCCCCCCCCTTGCGACCCTGGCCCCGTCGCCATATCTGCGGCCCCGGCCCTAGCCCCGTCGCCCTACCTGTGCCCCGGCCCCGGCCCCGTCGCCCTACCGTCGACCCGGCCCCGTCGCCCTACCGTCGACCCGGCCCCGTCGCCCTACCTACGGCCCGGCCCCGGCCCCGTCGCCCTGCCTACGGCCCGGCCCCGTCGCCCTACCTACGGCCCGGCCCCGTCACCCTACCTACGGCCCGGCCCCGGCCCCGTCACCCTACCTACGGCCCGGCCCCGGCCCCGTCGCCCTACCTTCGACCTGGCCACGTCGCCCTACCTGCGCCCCGGCCCCGTCGCCCTACCTTCGACCCGGCCCCGTCGCCCTACCTATGGCCCCGCCCGAACCGCCTACGCAGCCGAGCCGCCCGCGCCGCTCAGCAGCCCGAGCCGCCCGTTCCGCCCAAGCCGCCCGAGCCGCCCGAGCCGCCCGAGCCGCCCGAGCCGCCCGAGCCACCCGAGTCGCCTGAGCAGCTGAGGAGCCGAGCCGCGGGTGCCGCCGAGCCGCAGTTGCTGCCGAGCCGCCCGAGCTGCCCGAACCGCCCTGTCTGGTGAGCGCAGCGCCTCTGTCACTGCACTACCCCTGCTCTACAGTCAGCGCTGCTAGTCTACTATTGTCATGGCTACCCCTAGTGTCCTCGCTTTTGACGCCGAGGGTCGAGCCATTGACTTTGACGTCTGGGTAGATGACCTGCAGCTATTCTTACAGTGCGATAGGGCAGACGGTCTCTCCCTCTTTGACCTCACCTCTGGTGCCTCTCCTGTTCCTGCTGCTGATGCTGACGCCACTTTTCGCTCACAGTGGGCCACGCGCGATGCTGCTGCACGTCTTGCTGTGCGTAGCCACCTCCCTACCTCTTAGCGTGCGCACTTTAGTCAGTACAAGAGTGCTCAGACCTTATACGACGCTGTAGTTGCACGCTACTCCTCCCCTGCCATTGCTGCACTCAGCCGTCTCATGCTACCGTACCTCTTCCCTGACCTTGCTGCCTTTCCCACAGTCGCTGACCTCATTACGCACCTCCGCACTAGTGACACTCGCTACCGCGCTGCGCTTCCTGCTGACTTCTGCGCCAAGAACCCCCCCCCCCATGTACATCACTCTCTACTACAAAGTCACTCGCCTCCCTGACTCCCTTCGCGTAGTCAGGGACCACTTCCTCTCAGTTTGTCCCACCACTCTCACTGTTGACCTCCTCGAGAAGTCCCTCCTAGCGGCCGAAAAGAGCATAGTCGCTGTAGGGGCCTCTCGTGGTGACCCGCGCACCCCCATCTTTGAGGGGTGTTCCCCCTCCCCCCTTCTGCCCTCTGTTGCCTCTGCCGCTGCGGCCGACCTCCTTGGTTTTGAGTCGGTCGGTGCGGCGTCTGCCCCTAGCGGGAGACGCTGCTCTGGCAGGGGCAAGAAGGGCAGGGGCACTGGAGGAGCGAGCGGGGGCGGTGGAGGTGGAGGTGGAGGCGGCGGGGGGAGTGGGGGTGGCGGTGGGAGTGGAGGTGAGGGTTGAGGTGTCGGTGGCAGCAGTGGAGGCGGAGGCGGCGGCGGCGGTGGCGGTGGGAGCGGAGGTGGCGGAGGTGGTGGCGGTGGAGGAGGCGGCGGAGGCAGCGGTAGTAGCGGAGGCGGCGGAGGCGGCGGAGGCGGCGGAGGCGGCGGGGGTGGCGGTGGAGCTGGTCGCGAATCTACGCAGAGGAGTGGCTCCGGTGGTGGTCCGCGCCAGCAGCAGCAACGCGGTCGT